CGTTAATTGGCTTCGTTCTTGGGTATCCAACAAAGTGCCTAATCATGATAATCATTTAATCAATTACATAAATCCGCACGACCAAAATTCATTCTCAAAATTCGAGTTTTTATCCGTATATCACCAAATTTTCAGGGAGTAAAAAGAAACAATTAAAGTTAGTTTTGGCATCATTCATTTAATTTATTTCGCCTTTATATCCGAATGCGTGAGCCTTGGTCTTAACCCCAGCCATACGGTTCTGTACGACCTCAGAATCGACAGTTTTTTTTGCATATTAACCCATGCTTTTTTTCATTTCTTCTACATTCTTCACCACTTTAGGTCGTTTTAGAAGGTGCTCCTTCATAATGGCCCAGTATTTTTCTATTGAGCGCAGTTTCGGAGTGTTTAGGGGGTTCAGATCTTTCGGCACGAAATCGACATCATTCGCCTTATAACACTCAAGCACGTCCTTCGTGTAGTGGCATGATGCCAAAGCCGGCCAGAAGATCGTCGAACCGCCGTGACACTCTTCATCCTGTCCATTCATGGTGCTTGTGGTAACGGAAGGTGTACTCCGACAAGTACAAATCGCTTGCAAATTAAGAACTTCTTTTCGAACTTCGACATCTTCTGTGTCCGGAGGTTCTCGGGAACATCGCAAATATCCTTGGCAGTCACATTTAGGTTTCCTGGAACCTGGTTGAAGTCCGCCTTCACATATGTCTCGTCATCCATTACGCAGCGGTGTGGTTTCGTTAACTTTTAGTCGTACAACTTCCGGGCACGGCTTATTGCGACCGTATTCTGTTTCTCGTCACGGTTTGGGGACTTCTGAACCTTAAACGTACGTAGTCCAACTCGAGTTTTGGTATTCTGCACGAAAGTCTTGCTCACAAGCAACTTTTTAGCCACATCTCGAACTGAGGCGTTCGGTTTCCGTTTAAAGGCCCCAACCACGCGTTTGTGATCGTTCTCGTTGACCTGATCGTTTTTCGGATCTTCCCTTCCGATCAACAGTCAGACGTTCTTCGAACCGCTTTATGATACTAGACACCGTGGAATTCGCGATTCTCAAATTTTTCCAATGGCACGATGCGTCAGATCCTTATTCTCAAAGTACTCGTGAAAAACTTTTTCACGCACACACGTCGCACCTGATGAAATCAACTCACAGAGTGTAAACAATACACATTAAACTATGTCTACGCAAAATTTCAATTAATTTATCCCAAAAATTAGAGCAATTTGGGTGTGTGTTGATTTTAAACGGTACACCCTTTAGATGTACCGTTGTTTACGGATGGAATTCTTTGTGTGTAATTTGTAAGGCCAAGATCTAGTAAAAATTGCCGAAATTACTTTTAAACTCTATTTGGCAGAGAAGTGATTTCAACGCAATGCTCAAGAAGCAAGTGACGAACCTTCATTTTCTTCTAGAGGCTTTTTACGCTTAACTTAGTGTACGAGCTGCACGTCTACAGTTATTAATTGAGAGCTCTATGGCAAGGAAATCAGCTCAGCTGTTGAAAGGGAAATTGTAAAGCAAGATCATGCTGGATGTGGTATGATTATTCTTCTTCTTCTTCTTCTTCTTCTTCTTCTTCTTCTTCTTCTTCTTCTTCTTCTTCTTCTTCTTCGCATTTCAAGCTTATTGCATATCGCATATAAGCTTATTGCGTGCTCTCAACTTAGTGTTCACAGTACAAGCAGACACAACACATTGAAAATTTATAAATGTAAACCCTACCACCATCTGCCGTATATACTTTGATGGGCAATACACTCAACAGATGGTTGTAGTGTGTAAACGTCAAACGCTAGAGAATTGATTATGTGCACCACAAATGGCAGTACTACCAACTAAGAAACATTTAAATTGACCGTTAAAAACGATTTTGATGAACGTTTTAAGAGTGTTATGTCTGCTTTTCTGTGATCATACCTTCACTATCGCAACTTCGGGTAATCTACGAAAGTACTTGCATTTTTCTCAGGCACTTTTGATCTAACTGCAATTACTCTCTCATACTCGAAATGTGCCACGACCAAATTGGCACAACGACGCTCTATACGCTCTCTGACCGAAGCGCAGGGAAAGCTGGAGATCAAATTGAAATCAAAATTTGCTGTTATGATGTAACTTATTTTGAATACTTCAGTTGATCTCATTTTGGTTGACTTAACGGTTAACACAGCAAAAATTAGAACAAACTTTTACACCGTTGAATCAAACGGAAAACTAATCCTGCTTTTAATGAAATCAATTTAATTACTCATTTTGCATTCATAATGTTTAACTGAATACGGGCCTGTCGTAAATGGTTAGCATCCATGCTTCTCAAGCTGAATGACTGAAAGGCTGAAAGAGTCAAATCTCACCCCGGGCAAGTCACGAATGACCTAAAACGTTTTAAACAAAACAAATAAACAATAATCATTAGTTCAACAACAGATGAACTTAAATTGAAATTTTAAACATGGCGTTAACAGCAGAACATCAAGTTAAGTTGCTTTAATTTAAAAAGTTTTGGCTGCGAAATGAAAACACAATATGATATCAGACTTATGTCGCGACAATTGAAATGAGTTTTCATTATGATAGGAGCTGCAAACTTTAATATCGATTTGCTTTCATTTTGTTAACCGACTTTTCTCGGGTAGACCGGGAAGAACTTATTATTGTTTTTCAGTGAATGTAATTTACATTCACTGGAAAACAATGATGTGTTCTGTTCGCTGTGATTATTCATGCATATGAGATACAGATTCGAGTTCTTGGCAAAAGTTCTAGCTTATTTCAAAAGCTACAAAAGCTTCATACTTCATTTTAAGGAATCCCGTTGATATCAAAAGTTAGAGCTAATTTATGTAAATGATTGCACGAAGTGAATTTAAATGATTTTCCAAGCATGATTGTACGTGCACTGGAGTCGCTGTTTACGCGGGTTTTTGGATTCACACTTGTTTTACGTGGGTTTCGGAATTTACGTTGGTGTCTTTTTTGCTTAGATTTGATCAGAAATGCGTTGGCACCCAAGTAACATTTTAAGTTTTTTGAAATACTACACAGTTCGAAAAAGTAGTGTAAATTTCTGTTCAATATGATGCACATAAATGGAGCGTCACATATCATATACGTTTACATTATATATCATGTAAAGTTCTGACACATTTCATGCAATGTAGCAAATATTGTATACAAAAGCCCATCTTTGTAAACAACATTGTTTGCAAGTTGCTCGGTTGCGTGAAATGAAATACAAGTCTACGTGAATGAATGTATACATCACATTTAAAATTCAGAATTTTTATCTGTGTACAAAGCAACTATAAAACAACATTCATAAAACCCTGATCATGGCAATTTTGCCACCAAAACCTCATTAAGACTAGAATATGTCTAGTTGGCCCACCCTATATGTATAGCGCACATAAAATTAACGCTAGATTTGGTATAAATTTACGCGATAGTTTGTGTAAGTTTAAGCGCAATATCGCATAACTTAGCAACATTGTATGCAAGCTTGTAAACGATTTCACTGTTTATGCCAAGTATAGCTCAAAATTAAACGAAGGGAGATTTTACGCGAAAGTTAAAATTCAGATTTTTTTCTATGTGGAGAAGGTTCTGAAGGGTGTATTCTCGAAGCTCTTCAAGATTGATTTACTGCAAAAGGTTGTATGACGAACGCATTGAGAACCATTTTAAAGGTACAATAAAAGCTATTTAGCAACAATAAAAACCCTTTCCGAGCCATTTCCCCAAACCGCTTGCAAGATAGAAAAGGATTTATGATATTATCAAAATAATTAAAATAGAAACTGATGGTATTAAAATCTTGTTGAATATCCAAATTACAATAATGGCAGCATTTATTGAGACAAAGTTGCCTGCAAAAAGTTAAACGTCAAAGTTTGTTTATCTTTCGATAGTTGCGCTGTGGGATTTAGGGTTCTTTCTGGCGGTTTTCACCGGATGGATTGGGAGCAGTTACTGATATAGTTTGCGATACTCTTTTACAACATTTCGCATTTCGAATTTTTCAAACTACTTCGTCTATCCTTGGAGAGAGTAATTGGGGAGTTTATGGTGCATTTTAAAAGGCTTAAAAAACATCAAAATATGCTTTTTGCTCTAATGCAAAACCTGATGGTTTTATGGTTGCTTTTATAATAATAGAACTGAAGTATTTTATCTATACATTATTAAACAATTGCTAATGACGTTTATGCTTGAATTACAGAACAGTTTTAAGGAGGGATTGAGAACTGTTTTAAATTTATTTTTGAAACAAGACAGTTTCAGACTTTCTTGCCAGACTATAAATGGTTTTTAAACAGCAAAAAGCTGAATTACTAAGTAGGAAAGTTTTACACTTTGAAATGCTGTATTTAAACTAAATGGATTGTTCATTGCCGTTATAAAACCATCATAAATCAGAGTGGTTACTGTATTGTTACTTGGGCATACAAAATATGAATGCAAAAATGGCATAGGCTTAGAAAGCTCTCAACCTCACAACCGTGGTTGTGCTTACAGAACAATATGTTGAAGGTAAACCTCCGGTTATGACGTAATAGTCAAAGCAGAAAAAGAAGAAGTATGGAATGTGATATTTTAACGAACTTTATATTTTTTTCAAAAACAAGAAAATCAGACTGTTTTAAATTACAAGAAAATCGAGTTACATCAAAATGAAGTAAACGTTTCGAATAGTATTATTTTATTTTTGATTGTTTATTATTTATGTTTATTTTGTTCAGGTACGTAACTATTCATTATGATTACTTCATGACCCAAGTAAACAACAAGCCCACTAATATACCCTTTGATTATATAGAGCTTATGTACGGTGAAAGGATAAAGCTTTAAAGGCCTTTACATATTCGTCGTACATTCGTAATTCTGTATAGCCAAAATACGGTTTAGTAGCTTTAATGGTTACCTGGGTGCTTCAATATCTTCCAGAACATTATCGTGTGAACGTTTTGCTTATCTTTGCCCTTTATTTTAGATAATCCACGTCACAACGGTGATCAACCTGTGGCCACAGCTTCCTTCTCTTTCATTACAACTCACCGGGACACAAATCAGGTGGCACACATCTCAGCTCGAAGAACAAAGCAGAAAAGAAAACAACAATCAGTGAACAGTATCACGCAAATAACACAAACACAAACCCACTAACACCTGCGATGGACAAACGATTTACTACAGTAAGAAACAGAAAAAAAAAAATGAACATAGTAGCGAATGTGACGATCGTGCAAAACTTACAAAAAAAACAAAAATCGTAGATCGGTGGTGTGGAGATAGCTTTCCATCTCCGCCTCGCTTTTCCATTCACGATCTCATAACTCGATGATTATCTTACGAATACAACCCTATAGCTACATGGAAAAGATTCAACCACCCGCTCGTTGATTATTTATTAAGTTTGTATTAGGATTCTAGGATAGTTTTGTTTTCGTCCCGCACGTGTGCGGTTGCTGTTTATCGAAACGTTGGGTTTGATTTTGTTGAGTTACTAAGGCTATCTATACTAGTCAAAAAAAAAAACTGATGATGCTAAGTATGTAACGAAGGACGACGCTGTAATCAAGTCGCTCTAATCTTAGTCTAGTTAAAAACACACACACATACACACACATGCCACACAAGACATCATACGAGGTTAGGTTTACTTCTGTGTAAATATATTCGGAACAAGAAAGAACAAGCTTCACTATTCACCATTTTTTGCGTTGAATCTATTTATCCATTCGAACATGATAAAAACAAAAACAAAAGCAGAGCAGTTTGAACGAAGGCTAATGTTTGTAAGTCAGAAGCGAGGTGAAGCTGAAGCTGGTTTTTCGCGCGCAAGGTTATATTAAAAGTTGCAATTTTTGCTTGCTAAATCGGCGTGTTTTAAGGTTGCGTAAGCAAATGTCGTTTATAGATAAATCCAGAGGAAATAATATGGGAGTGAAGTTGGAAAAGTCTTGTTAAGAGGCGCATCCTAGCAATAATAGAAGGTGAAAAAAAAAACACCCACACACACGAACACAAGGAAAGGGTTTTCCGTTGGATTCCGTTCGCACTTTTAACCTCGAATCTGTAGTATGAGGTGGACGCCGTCGAATGGAATCCGGGAGGGGTTAAAATAAAAAAAAGCATGGAAATTAAAATTGGCTTCAAAATCTCTATGCAAGCAAAATGTAGCATGCGCAAAAATTGCGTGGAAGAAGTGTGTGAGTTCGACATTAGCGATTAATGCGCGCGAGCGTGTGTGTAAAGGAAATTCAGCGGCTGAAAAGTGATTAGAAAAGAACAAGAAAAAAAAATTAGACACGGAAACTATAAGAGGAAGAAAAATTAAAAATGTTCAAGAAAATGTGTGATAATATTTAATGACTAATAATCTCTAACATTAATTTGAGGAAAAAAAGGATATACAAGAGGAAGCCTATAGATATATTATTACTATTATTCACGGGATAGATCTTAACACAGGATGGCATATTTATAGCTCCTACAACAACAACAACAACAACAGCAACAACAACATCAAAAACAACAGCAGACTATAGAGAAGGACACGACACAGTTTGAAAGTTGGGCGGGATAAGCGTAATATGGAACCTCTGCTGCTGAGCAGGTGTAAGTAGTAGATTCTTTTGCAGACCGATATGGTGGGACTGTAACATGTTAGGGGCTAAACTTAACTAAAAGAAATCGTACTGTTTTCAGTTGAACTGTGGGTTGGCGGTGGAAGAGGAATCAATTGCAGCTTCGGGTGAGAGAGGAAAGGAAGGAAGAAGAAATATTTTAAATTTTGCTTAAGTTGCATGGAAACCTGCAACTTTTTAGGGGATTTTGGCATACCCTCGACTGTAGTCACAATCGAGGAATAGGATACCTTGTGGGTGATCGTCCAGAGGATACCTTGAGGTGAACGTCATGGGACGGGCAGCAACCACTTGTGTGCGGGGCCTTCTTTAGCTCAGTTGGTAAAGGCGCAGCTACAAAGCAAGACCATGCTGAACGTGGCTGGGTTATACTAATGCAAAAATGGTACAGGCATCGAAAGCTCTCAATTAATAACTGTGGAAGTATACCTAGAACACTAAGTTGAGAGCACGCAATAGGCTAATATGCGATAAGCAATATGCTTGAAATGAGAAGAAGAAGGGTTCATTTACCAGAATTACGAGGGTAACACAACAAGTTTGGAACTATGGAAGCTAATAACAAGGAACCGCTTTGAAATAATAAAAGAGAATGTATGAATGGATGAAGTTGCGAGCACAGGAAAAATGAAGCATGAAAAAAGATGTCATCTTCCAGGAAGAATCAGATGATCTCATCGATCTCTTCAAATTATGGCACCTCCCCCAGGGGCACTTTTCTTTTGATTTAAATCGTTAAATTTGTAATCAATATTGCTCGGCTCCGTATGGTTTTGTTTTTCTTAAACAGTTGAGCCCAATAATAAATTTGCTCGTCTGATTTTTGGGATTGTATCTGAATAAACAATACAATTGTTTACAAGCTTGCAAGCTGTATAGCCGCATAAGCCATATGTCACATCAATTTGCAAGAATTAAGAAGTTCTTTGGAGTCAAATTTTGACGTTGATTGTTAAGCAGATTGCGTTTTCTTCGAGGCGGGTGACTCTATCTAAAAATTGCCGGAACGATTTTGTTTTACTGTCGTGAGACGCCTGTGCGATAAGTAGATTGAAGAAGATTGATGCAACAGATCAGTAGATTTCCCGGAATAAAATAGGGCGTGAGGCGAGTAGATAGATTAAGATGCGAAAAAGGAAAAAAAGTAAGATTTTTTTAATCCGAATCTATCTACAATCAAATATTGAGATTAAGATGTGTCGCTTCATGATAACGTTTATTTCACCACTATGACATTTGCTACAACAGCATAGGATTTCCAATGTTCAGCACAATCAAAGTGGCGTGGCGTAAATTTACATGATTTGTCGTGTAATTTTTTGACACTGGCGATCAATCTAGTTAGCAATTGACTACATTTTGTTTGTAAAATTTCCATTTTGCTAGTTTCTGGCAAAACATTAAAGTGTCATTTTTTTGAAACTTAATCTGATCGATGCTGGCGGAACTTCAGTAACGAAATCAGGCAGGTCGATAGGAATTTTAGCTGGGCCCTGGCTAAAGCAAAAGCAAGCAGCCGCCCAGGATGGAAGTCTTTCAAGTTGGCCCTTTGCAACACTGAAGATTCAGGACAGAAAATGTTCACCTAACGAATTAAGGTTACAAGTGATATTATTCGGAAAACGGTTATCAAAGTCACACACGGCCAATGAGAACGATCCCAATTTGAGTTTAGTTTGCTCAGAAATCACAAAGGGCAGGAACTCAGTTATGAGTAAATTTCCCTCATGTTTTACCAAGTTTTTCCAGGTTTGTTCAAGAAAAAAACTCGAATATGAGAAAAGTAAATGAGTAAAATTTTCGTCAATTTTCCTCATTTTCTACTCAAATTTGGGTTGTTTAGAAATTGGGTGCATGGTATTGGTTCAACCTTATAATGCAAATCATCTTAAAATGATGGTGTTATTAATTCTATCGAACGTCATTTGCTGATCTGAGCTGACAAACTAGGTAGAAACATAGTTATTGCTATCAGAGGTGGTACGAACACTGGTAAAGCGTGGAAACCGAAAATTGCCGATTCCTTGGTGGAGGAAATTACCTCTACCTGCAAACAATTTTTGGCTGTTCATGGCTATTCAATATGGAAATGTAAACAATCGAATTATAAATCTAATTTAAAGCATCTGCAAGTCACCCTTTTATTAAATTGTTGTCCTCTGAGCGCTGTATGTTTTACAGCCAATTTTCAAATAAATATCATCCTTTATTTGGATGACAGTCATATGGATTCTCATCAGCTGATGACGAATTCAACCATAAGGCAATCATCCGAAATTCGAAAGCATATTGTTGGGCTCGAGCAATGCAGTAATCATTCGAAGTATTGTGGATGTTTTCGTTCAGTGTAGATCTTGATCCAGGTTAAACCTTGGGGGGGGGGGACGTGCTGTCAAATCAGCCTACTGATCATTCTTGTATGAAACTGGTTCCAAACGTAAACAAACGCTGTAGGTTTCTTATGCCTTGTTTACGTTTGGAACCAGTTATGCGAGGTAGGCGACGATTGTTCGTATTTGACAGCCACCACTCAAAAAATTCCACACGTCATCTTCATGTTTCTCACACTTAATTTTGCCCTTATTGTGAAACACATCCATTTCATGTGTGAATCTTATGCTATGAATCATGTCTGAACACTATGGATTTGAATTGTGACACACTTGGATTCTATGTGCCTGATGTGATATCAATTGCTTTGCACATCATAGTTTAATAAACTCTAAAAATGAATTGACAAATATATAAACAAAACTGCCAGAGGCCAGAGCTTTCACATAACTTTTTAATGGGTCTGATTTGGGATTCGATCATGGACTGTTGGGGTGTGCTGCTGCCGAAGTCTTCGTTCGATCTCACTGTGCCACGGTTGTTCTCATATATGAGGCGGGTTGATAGGATAAAGACACAAGTCTTGTTTTCGATGTTTACCTTTCTGAGCAAGCAATTCACATCGTATTGAAATGCAAAACACTTTAAATTCATCTGTTTTGAACAGTAGTGTTATTCAACATGCAATACACTTGAATAGTTAGTGAAAGATATTCAACATTGCAAAATTTGAAACACTATAATTTAACGTGTATACCACATTGAACCAAGGTGAAATACACTTAAAGTAAATGTGATTGTGCATTTGAAAAAATCTAGTGTTTAAACACTTCGATCAAACGTGTGGAATTTTTTGAGTGTATGATGTGATCCTCACGTTAGATTGGGTCAATTGCTCTGTTACTATGGAAACACCTTCCTTAAACCTCGTTGCCCACGGCAGTCAATTTTTCTCCTCTCGCCAACTCTGTCACTTAAGCGACGACTGCAGTCATTTTTCGCTAGTTATGGAAGCTCAAATTGTAAACTTTCATGCGAAATTACGATGTTGGTACCTTGCATTTGACAGCTTGAGGCAACATACACGGCCACTTATGTTGTTAATGCTCGGTTTACACTAGTGTTGGTTCATAATCCTGATTAACCAATATTGGTGTAAACCGGTCAAGTTTGTGCCAGAAATTGGTGCACCAATATTAACCAGCTGCGGAAAACAGTTTACATCACACTGATAACCAATTTTGAGAGTGACAGGCTCATTATCAGTAGTGAATCAGCACAAGGGGAATAAACCTCACAACATATGTTTTCACAGTCAGTGTTGAGCGGCTTGTTTCCTAAATCCATCGCCTGGGATGCTTAATCAATGTATTACAAAAACGCGAAGACATCATATCAATAAGACGGGCAACTTTACCGGTAGAGATGAAATTTTGCTCTCTTTTTTATCAAAACAATCACACTAAAATCAGAGATGTCCCATTTTTTAAATTATTCGATTAACATCTAATCGATTATGTTTTGTTCGCTGCGCTGTCATTTTATCCATTTGAAAGGTCTTCTGCTCGATTGGAATGACTTTTCCTATGACTTTGACAGATAATCGATTGTTCCAATTTTGACATGTCGTCTCTTTATAAATTCAGGCTCTTTAATCAGCATGATATAACCGATTACACATATTTTACTTTTCGGTTCGTTAATCGATTAATCGATTATTCGAATGAAAATCGGCCATCACTAGATGAATGTGAAACGTCATTTCAA